CTCCCGGGTTCAAGCAATTCTTCTGCCTCAGCTTCCCAAGTACTTGGGATTACAGGCATGCGCCACCATGCCTGGCTAATTTTGTATTTTTAGTAGAGACAGGTTTTCTCCATGTTGGTTAGGCTGGTCTCAGACTCCCGACCTCAGGTGATCCACCCGCCTCAGCCTCCCAAAGTGCTGGGATTACAGGCGTGAGCCACTGCGCCTGGCCTTTCCTGGTGTCATTTTGAGTCAAATCCCAAATTCCAGGGTTGGAACAGAAAACTAGCACAACTTCCACAGCCTGAAAGGACAAAGCCCAGCCCCCCTGGACTGACACGAGTCTTTCACTTTCCTCTTCATTTCCCTCAGTCCCTTTTGATCCCTCACAGGGTTCTCTCCACATTCCTGTCCCTTGGGCATCCAGCCTCTGTTTGCATCCTGCCCTTAATGAGGAGCACACTACCTCCAGTAGCCCAATCTATTTTCAGACAACTCCAATTGTACTTTTTCAAAGGGTTTTGTCTGGCAAACTAATTTCCAAAGATGCCCTAGGGGTGAAGAAAGAAAAAGATTGGTGGATAAATACATTTGGAAAAAGCTGCTTGTGATAACATCTTCCTCGAGATTTATTCCACAACAGTATGTTCTGAGTTATGAGAAATACAGCAATTGAGAAACCTGTTTAACTTTGCTCAGCTGAGAATTCCCAAATTTATTTGATTACAGAGTACTTTCTTCAAGAATCATCTACCAACAGGCTGGGCGCAGTGGCTTATACCTGTAATCCCAGCACTTTTGGAGGCTGAGGCAGATGAATTGCTTGAGCTTGGGAGTTCAAGATCAGCCTGGGCAATATGGTGAAATCCCGTCTACACACACACACACACACACACACACAGGTACAAAAAATTAGCCAGGCATGGTGATGCACACCTGTAGTCCCAGCTACTCAGGAGGCTGAGGTGGGAGGATCCCATCTCAGGAGGTTACAGTGAGCTATAATCACAGGCCACTGCACTCCATCCTGGGTGACAGAACAAGACCTTGTCAAAAAAATAAAAATTATCTACCAACCCCGTGTACGTCTTAGAAGTGCTGTGTCCGAAAGTTTTTCTGGGGTGGCAATCACTATTCCTGAGAGTCCCACCTACTGACTTCCTTTCTAAGTTCTGAGGTACAAAGAACAGGGCTGGTCCCTTCACGGACTGGAATATTAAGATTTAACCCTTATTGAGCACTTAGAAGGAGCCAGGCACTGTGCCGAGAGCTTTTTACAAGTGACCCCACACCTATTGTCTAACAGATGGAGAAACTGAGGCTTAGAGGGGTTAGGTGACATCCCATAGCTAGATAGTGGCAGAGCTGGAAAACAAACTCAGCATCTAATACAAAGTATATAAAAACAGAAGAAGGCTTAGCACATGGCAAATATTCGATAAATGTTATCTGTGTTGTTGCTGTTATTGCCATTACTATTATTATTATTATTTTCTTTTATCATCCATCTGACTCAGAATACTGTTATTATCTGACTTAAGAGTAAGTGCTCTTAACCTCGTGAAAAAGTTTTCCCATGTTTAGACGATGTCTGTCTCCTATCCATTTCTCCACACTGTGCAAACCAGGAAGAAGGATTGAACACCCAGGACATCTAATCTTTTCCAGCTGAAAGCAATCTTCCATTTGCTGGTTCCTCGGAAAAAGGACTGTCTAAATCCTCAGAAATACAGTGAAAATGAATCCTTCAAAAAGATCACCAAGGGAGAGCAGAGAAGAACAGGGGGCTGGGGAAAATCCATCAGGAGGAGGAGAATCTTCCAGACCAAGGTTGGCAAACCACAGTCCTCAGCCCCAATCCGAACCAGCCCACTGTGTTTGGTAAATAAGGTTTTATTGGAACACAGCCACAGTCATTCCTATATGTATTTATTACCTATGCTGCTTTTTGCACTATAACAACAGTTAAGTAGTTGCAAAAAAGAGCTAAAATATTTACTATGTGGTCCTTTACGGAATCAGTTTGCCAACCCTTGCTCTAGGCTGTGGAGAGGAGAAATGTGGGCTGGAGAGGGTTTGTGATCAGCTGGGTGTCTATCTGTCTTTTATTGTTTTCTGGATGCTCTAGGAAAATCCAGCTAAGAGTTGCTGGGGGCCAGAATGAGACACCTTACAAGAACTTAAGTAAGGAAGCTACGGCTCTCCACCAAAGTTAAGCTTTATGTCTATTTGTGATGGCTCAGAGCTGAGACATGCAAAGCGCTCTGAAGGTCACTGCATCACTCCAAGGTGAGATGTATGTGGCTCTCAGTGGATCAAGGTGATGGCCTATCTCAAGAGAGACTGACTAGTCAACAAAGTGGGGTTTGGTCAGCCTTGTACACTGAGACAGGGCAGAGGTTATTGTTGGCACGGCACCATTTGGGCACTGGTCCAGGTGAGGGGAGGCCTCCAGTGGATGGAATATCTCGAGTGGGAAGACCATTTCTACAAGGCCTTCCATGTTGAACGGGCTCTTAGCCTATTGTCCTTATACAGTCAATTCACCTACACAATGCCCTTGTTGCAACTCCACGATCTCAAAGCAACCTTCTGGTTATGACTTGGCTCCTTTCCATGTAGGCCTGCCAATACCCCATATGCCTGGATGGGTTTTAGGGAGACTGAGAACTCCTGAAATTGTGTGTGCAACGTTGGGTATATGTGAGAATGCACATTATTAAGGACGAGGACCCTCATGTTTGTTAGAGTCTCAAAGAGAATGAAAGTTCAGAAAAGAGACCCAGCGTTTATCTGTGTGAATGTTTTAATTAGGGCTTCCTTCTACCCTCCAACTGAGGGCAGGAACTCTGTCTCAGACACCATTGTTCCTCCAGCACTCAGCCCTGTGCCAAGCTCCTAAGACATGCTTACTAAGTATTTGTTGCAGCAAGAATGGAAGGAAGAAAATAAAGAGGAGAGGCTAGGGAGAATGGACAATGGGAGGGAGGAAAGTTGGGGTTGGTCATACAAACATGAGTGTTTGGGTCTCTGGGACAGAATTTTCATTGTAAATTAGGAAACTGACCTTCTGATTTATGTAACAGTCTCCTGAGCATGGTTAATGGATTTTCCCTGGGGCATAGACCTGTTCCTGGTGTGCTGTCAAATCAGGATTCTTAAGCCTGAAAAGTTTATGGCCAGAGCTTAGACCTGGGTGAATGCACAAGCAGGGCTCCTTGGGAGACAGACAGCTGGCTTTTCCCCAGGTGGAGAAGGAGGGCTTTAGTTTTCCTGTAATTGTATTTCTACTGCAATAATAGTGTCTACTGTCTTCTCGCAGTGCTGGGCATATTTAAAGCCAGTGTGCCAGTGCCTAGGACAGTGCTGGCACCCAGTGGATGCTCAGCAAACATTTACTGTGCAAAGGGATGTTGTACTATTTGGGTAACTGATAAAATATAGATTGCACAGTTGTTTTTGCTATTACATCTAAAAACATGATTGAATAACCCACAAGCTATAGTCTTCAACTACAGACATTCTAAAGTAATAAGGCTAACAGGAATTCAAAAACACCAAATCATTCCTAATTTTGAAACACAGTGTCCCTAAACAGACACGAGAGCCTAATGCCCAAACCAGCCCTCTCGCCTATGGGGTCTTCCAGGACTCGCTTGACACATTCTAGGTGGTAGCAGTTTACAACTTGGTAGGCAGCAGCATGGAACCTTAAAAAAGAACAATTTCAATTTAAGATTTGGTTGAGGATTTCTAGATACTTAGTGAAAATTCATAAAGCTGCAAAGTACTGCTCCATGACAACTGAAAGATGGTCACGTCTCCCATTGGTGACTTAGGTAGATCTGTATCTTATTCTCTCATTCCCTTCTCAGGGCACACACACACACTCACACACACACACAGGCACACACTCTCACACACACAGGCACACACACACAAGTGCGCGTGCACACACACACACACACAAGCGCACACACACACTCATACACACACACAGGCACACACACAGCTTGATTGCTTCTGAAAAAAAGGAATACATGTGTGGTGCTATATTACTTATCTATTTCTGTGTAACAGTTTACCCCAAAACTTAGCAATGCAAAGCAACAAATGTTGATTATCTCAAACAGGCTCTGGGGGTCACGAATGCAGGAGCAGTTTACCTGGGTGGTAACGTCTCCTGAGCTCTCATGAGGGTGCAGTCAAACTGTCCGCCAAGGCTGCAGTCTTAGCAAGGTTCAACTGGGGCTGGAGGAGCTGCTTCCAAAACTACTTATGTGTTTGTTGGCTGGCCTCAGTTTCCTGCTGGCTCTTAGCCTGAAGCTTTAGTTCTTTCCCGCATAAGCTACTATATAAGGTACTTACACGTGGTTGCTTGCTTCCCTCAGAGAGGAGAAACAGACTGACCAACAGACAGACACACAGATAGACAGGGTCAGAGAGAGGAAAGAGAGAGAGAAGTTGCAGCTTTTTATGACTTAATTTCGGAGGGGCAGATCATCACTTCTCTATAGGCCATTAGCCACACAGACCAACTGTGATACAGCACAGGGGGGAAATACACAAAGGTGTGTCTATCAGGAGAAGGGGATCACTAGGGGCTGTCTTGGAGGCTGGCTACCACAGGAAGTTTTAAAATATATCTACAAATCCCTTGACATTCCTCCCTGCAAAAAGTAGAAAACAAATTTCCTTCCCTTTGAATAAGAGCTAGACTCGGTGACTTTCTTGTAACAAATAAAATGGAGTGGAAGTGATTTTGCACAGATAAGGTCATAAGAAGCATTGTGACATCCATTTTTCTCTCCTGTATCACTCTTTCTGGAGGAAGACAGTTTCCGTGTTGTTAGGACACTCAGGCAGCCCTATGGAGAAGTCCGTATGAGAGGAACTGAGGCCTCCTGCCTTACCAACTGGCTGGTCAGAAATAAAACATCTTAAAGGGGATTCTCCAACTGGCCAGGCATAGTGGCTCATGCCTGGTAATCCCAGTGCTTCGGGAGGCAGAGGTGGATAGATCATTTGAGGTCAGGAGCTCGAGACCAGCTTGGCCAACATGGTGAGATCCTGTCCCTACTAAAATTACAAAAATTAGCTAGGTGTGGTGGCACGTGCTTGTAATCTCAGCTACTTGGGAGGATGAGGCAGGGGAATCGCTTGAACCTGGGAGGCAGAGGTTGTGGTGAACTGAGATCTCGCCACTGCACTCCAGCCTGGGTGACAAAGTGAGACTCCATCTCAAAAAAATTTAAAAAAATAAATAAAAAAATAAGCAGGGGGGGAATCCTTCAGCCCCAGGCAAGTGTTTAGATGACTGCAGCCCTGAATGCAACCTCATGAGAGACCCTGAGCCAGGGCCACCCAGCTAATCTCATCCCAAATTCTTGACTTACAGAAAATGAAATGATAAATAATTATTTTTTTTTAAGTTATTAAGTTCTGGGGTAATTTGTTATGCAATGATAGATAATACAAAACGCTCATTGAATTTTAGTGTTCTTAGTTGCAAATAACAGAATCTGCCCTAGTTAATTTAAGTAGACAAGGAATGTGTTAAAGGATCTAGGTAGTTCACTGAGTTCCTGGGAAAACTGAAGGACGAGGCTTGGAGCTACAAAGCCATGACTCTTCCAGTGGAGACCCTTCTGCTGCCATTGCTGGGCACAGACCCCATACATTCTAGTGACAGAGTGCTGCCATTTTGCTTCTGTAAGCTGGATGTCTCCACCACCACCACTTGTGAAGAATGAACTCCGCGTGGCACTTACTTCTAAACCAAAGCCTGTATAAGGATTTGGTCACATATCTGTTCCCTGGTGCAATGGTTCATTTTATGTGTCAACTTGGTTGGGTCATTGTGCCCAGGTATTTGGTCAATCATTATTCTGGGTGTTTTTGTGAGGGTGTTTTTGAAGGAGATCAACATTTAAATCAGTGTACTTTGAGTAAAGCAGGCTGCCCTCCCTCATGTGGGTAGGCCTCATCCAACCAATTTGAGGCCTTAATTGAACAAAACCTGATCTCCTCCAAGCAAGAGGGAATTCTGCCAGAAGACTGCCTTTGGACCTGAACCGTAACATTGTCTCCTTCCTGATCTCCGTAATTGCGTGGGCCAAGTTCTTAAAACAAATCTCTCCCTCCCTCTATCTACACATACTATTGGTTCTGTTTCTCTGGAGAACTCTGATTACTACACCTAGTTACAAGGGAAGCTCATTAAGGGAGTTTCTGGCTTAAGCATGTTCAGATCCAACTCAAGAGAAATTCTGCAGATATTGGAAAGGTGTTCTAATTGCTAGGTGGCCACAAAGCCCAGCTAATATCCACTATACTCGTTATGTTAATAGTCAAACCAGCAGGGTACAGTGGCTCAGGCCTGTGATCCCAGCACTTTGGGAGGCTGAGATGAGCGCATGGCTTGAGCCCAGGAGTTCAAGACCAGCCTAGGCAATATGGTAAAACCCCATCTTTACAAAAAATTACCTGGTGTGGTGGCACATGCCTGTAGACCCAGCTGCTCAGGGGGCTGAGGCAGGAGGATTACCTGAGCCTGCTAGGTCAAGGTTGCAGTGAGATGCGATTGTGCCACTGCACTCCAGCCTGTGCGAGTGAGATGCTGTCTCAAATAAAGAAATAAATAGTCAAACATCATAGCAATCTTTTATATCAAATTAAACTTATCCCTCAATACCACTTCTTTCCCCAATCCACAGAGAAAAGCAGATCATCATTTGATGTATATCCCTCAAGCTATTTTTCTCCAAGTTGTAGACTTTAAATATGTGTTTGGGGCGTGTGCCTGGTGAGATCCCAGGGAGTTCGCCTGAGATTCAAGCTCTTGCTCTTCAGACACTATGGTCTTTCTTCTGTATACACCTTCTTCCTTTAATTACATGCATTTGTAAATAATGAATAACATTTCCCTCAAGAGATTTTCTGATTTTATCTCTTGATCCAAATTAAAGTGTGACCAAAATTTCTTCTCTAGAGAATGATATCGTGTACCTGTAAGTAAAGTTATAAGCATTGCAGTCCCATGGGAAGAGGGTCCTTTCCTGGCTAAAATTTCGTGAAGTCTCATTAATTCAGATTCCTTAAAATTGGAATTTGTGATCATTCAACCTTCCCTGGGTTGGAGTTTGCTTTTCATTTTCTCTGGGCAAAGCAATTAAATTTTAAAAAAGACAAATTACAAGAGGAATATTTCAGTAGTACAGTTTTAAAAGGTTTTAGTATCCAACTTATTGAGGCCCAAGTGGAACCTGCTACACAGAAGTAATAGATGCAATCTCTTTTTTTTCTGTAAGCTAAAAGGAGCAAAGAGGAAGACTGATTCTATCATATGATCTTTAAATTTTCAAACAAGATCCCCATACAATTTGGTCTCTTGCTTTAAACAACAGCAAAGCTGGAATGTATGTGAGACTTTTGATTTTAAAAGACAGCATTCATCTAGGATTCAGGAACAATCTGTGATCAAATAGAATTATCCAAGAGAAAGGAAGTCCCAAAATGATCGCCGAAGTGGTCCTCTAAAACAGCAAATCTGACCGGGCATGGTGGCTCATGCCTGTAATCCCAGCACTTTGGGAGGCTGAGGCAGGTGGATCATGAGGTCAGGAGGTTGAGATCAGCCTGCCCAACATAGTGAAACCCTGTCTCTACTAAAAACACAAAAATTAGCTAGGCATGGTGGCATGTGCCTATAGTCCCAGCTACTTGGGAGGCTGAGGCAGGAGAATCACTTGAACTGGGGAGCCAGAGGTTGTGGTGAGCCGAGATGGTGCCACTGCACTCCAGCCTGGGCAACAGAGCGAGACTCCGTCTCAAAAAAATAAATAAATAAATAAATAAAATAAAATAAAACAAAATCTTTTTAATAAAGCAAGCAAGCAAAATTCAGGCACAATAAGAGTATAATTATGAGTTCCTTGAATGTTTTAAAATAAAATTAAAAGCCTGTAATGATGCTAGTTAAGTTTCTGATGTTGAGGAGGACACAATTCCCTTGGCATGAAGCAGAATGACACTTAAAAATCATGCTTTTTCAGTAGAGAGAGCCTCTGACCGGTAATCTTGGCCTGCTGTTTCTTGGAGAATAGTTTCTGCTTAAAGAAATTGATCTCCTCCGCCCTTGGGACACTGGGCAGCATCTGGGGCTGACAGAGAGCCCACGAAAAAAAAAAAATTCTGGCTTCCCATGGTGCTGTTTCTGTACCCCAGTGAGCCACACAGACGTTATCATCTTCCAGCTGTCCTTACATGAAAAACTTGGGAAGCTCTGCAGGGAAAAGAACAAGAGAGCCTCTCCTTTCTACCATTTTCTTGGCAGCTGTGAGTAACTTTGAGTAACCATCCTCTGACACCTTATTGAACGTGGTGTAGGGACACTGTTGGGGACACAGTCCACTATTATCCCATAGGCCTCTGGGTCCACATCCAGATTCATCATTTAAAAAAAATATTACACACGTGATTCATGTTTGTTTTTAAATGGGAGCATTACAGAAGGTGATGATTAAAAAGTGGCATCCTTTTGTTAACTGTGTTAAGAGTTGGATGTATATCTTTCCAATCCTTTTCTCCAGGCATGAGTAAACACTAACTTTTATTTGTTCTCTATCAATCAGCGTATCCAGCGATCTAGCTGTCATCGGTCTATTCAGTCATCTGCTTAACCAACTGAAATGTACACGTACCTGCCAGAAATGAAGGAGGCATATAGGCCAGGCAGCCATTTGATTGAACACTCAACTGTACAATAGAGGATTCTTCCTGGTGCAAGTAACATAAAACATGACTCAAACCATCTTAAGCAAAAAATGAAAAAAAAAAATGTACAGGCTTTCTTTACACAAAGTGTAGGGGCAGGTCCAATTTCAAGTACAGCATGATGCAAGGGTCCAATGACATCATCTAAATCCTGTGTGTCTCTGTCTCCCCCTCTTCCCTCTTTCCCCGCATTGGCTTCATTCTCCAGCTCCAATGCCAATGGTTGCTGGCCCCATGTCCCTTCAAGTTCAAGTCCAGGGGAAATATGAAGAGCCCCAGCACAAGTCTCACTGCGTCTCATTGTTTCAGGCCACCCTTTCTGAAGGAGTCGATCCCCTGTCCCTTGTTACTCCTATTTCCCATTGCTCTGTTTTATTTTCTTCAAAACACTTATTGCCTATTGAAATTATGCTAAGTATTTGTTACTTGTTTATTGTCTGTTTCTCACTGGAAAATAAGCTTCCCCAGAGCAGCATCCTCATCTGGCTTGATCCTTGCTGTATATCTCAGCTCTTCTCTATAAATATTTGTTGAATGAATGAATGAGTGAGTGAGTCACCAAGGCCAGGGAAATAGCATGCAGTGACTGGCCAGGCTTGAGTCACATGACCCCTCTGCAAAATACATGGAACAAGAGTTGGGGAGAAGATGGTACCCCAGAGAAAAATCAGGGTCCTGCTAGCTGAAGAAAGGTGACTGGAATGGATGTTGATGGGTAAAAACCACAAAGATCCACCACATCAGCTAAGCTTAGACATGGGTTTCCCACATGTGGGATCAAATACTGTAGTGCTATGTTTGAATGTTGGCTTTGCCACTTTGCTTCTCTAAGGTTTGGCTTCCCTCATGAATAAAATAAGAAACAGACCTAACTCTTCATGTGACAATTAGAAATAATATACACTAAGTGACAAATAAACAGTGGAGACTCAATAAATAGTAGCTTTTACTATTTCTGTAGCCCTGGTTATCTATTCCACATTCCTAGTGATCATATCTTTTTGGTGTTTTAAACAAATCCAATGCAAAGCACACCTTGAAGTCCCCAAATATAAAGGAATTAAATGTTGTTTAAATGGTCACTCTACTTTTTGAAAGCAAAGTTATCAGAAAATTTGGCCCTAGTGTAGCATCTCTCTGATACTGGAGGCTGCCAGTAAATGATAATTTGAGGGGATTCCCAGCCAGGGTGATTTTTAAAATATTTAACAATTGGCCCAACTGGGCATTGACCTGGGCAGTGATCTGATGATCACTGGATCAATCAGAACAGATATTGTTCTTACATTGCATGTCTAGCTGTCATCGGATGCTTTCATTGGAGGCCAGTCTAGCCAGGAATCACTTTTGGTCAACCCAATCAGCATCTGGTCACAGAGCTTCACATAAGGAGTGGCCAGGGGCTATGCTTCACCACTATCCAGGAAGATCTTTTCCACCCCAATTTACGACCAAGGTGTCACTTGGTATGTGTGATGCCAGGGGTGATGGCAGCCCAACCCAAGAGGAAGTTCCCGGGCTTTCCCACATTAAGCCACAGACTCTGACCTTTATATCATGCCTGCTCTGCTAATATAGTCACACACGCATTCCTTAATAAGCTTCACTTTCAAACCTGTCCACGTTGTTTCCCTGGCACAGCCAATGTTTGCTTACAAGTCTCGTCTCATCAGCACGAGAAAGGCAATCCTTAACTTTTACCTAAATCCAGAGAAAGTTTCATTGGGTCAACAGTTTGATGATAAGAGATAAAAGGGAAGAATCTAGAAATGGATAGCCAGTGGAGAAATATAATTTTCTATTTTATACTTGTTGATATATTCTGCCTTGTCAACAATGGTCTTGTATCACTTTCCCGATTTAAAAAGAAAGCAATATAGGTTTTCTTTTTATTGGTTTTAAAAACAAAGTCATGGCAAATACATTTCCTTCTAAATGAGAGGTCAGCAAACTTTTTCTGTAAAGAGCCAGATAGTAAATATTGCAGGCTTTGCAGGCCATATGGTCTCTGTTACAGCTACTCAATTTTGCCTTTGTAGAGCGCAAGCAGCCAGAGGCAATACACACACAAATGGGTGTGGCTGACTTCCAGTAAAATTTTATTTATTGATGCTAAAATTTGAATTTCATGTAATCTACACTTTCTCAATCAGTAGTAAAAATCATTCACAATTTGTAGGTTACACAAAACAGGCAGCAGGCCAGATTTGGCCCACTGGTCATAGTTTGCCAGCCCCTGCTCTAAAATAATAAAATACCAGAGATGAGATAAAAAGTCCCCTTTAAACTTGTGGAAAATTTCAGACATATACCAAAGCAGAGAGAATAATGTAATAATCCTCCAGGTATCCATGATCCTGCTTCAACAATGACTAACTCGGCTGGGCGCAGTGGCTCATGCCTGTTATCCCAGCACTTTGGGAGGCCAAGGCAGGTGGATCACGAGGTCAGAAGTTCAAGACCAGCCTGGCCAACATAGTGAAACCCCATCTCTATTAAAATACAAAAATTAGCCAGGCATGGTGGCATGTGCCTGTCATCCCAGCTACTTGGGAGCCGGAGGCAGGAGAATCACTTGAACTGGGGAGGCGGAGGTTGCAGTGAGCCGAGATTGCACCACTGCACTCCAGCCTGGACGACAGAGGGAGACTCTGTCTCAAAAAAAAAAAAAAAAAAAGACTAATCATGTGACATCTATAGCCCCACCCACTCACCCACTACCCTTTATTCACAGTTTATTTATCCAGACATCGTATGTATCCATAGTTATCCATGTGTATGTTTATCCATAAATCGTATTTAATTTATCCATAGTCAATGTATCAATTTATGATATTTATCCATAAATATTTTTATAGACGGTTTTAAAGGTAACACAGTTGACCCTCAAACAACACAGGTTCAAACTGCATGAGTCTATTTATCTGTGGATTTTCTTTTGCCTCTGACACCCCGGAGAGCAAGACAAACTCATCCTCTTTCTCTTCCTCATCAGCCTACTCAACATGAAGGTGATGAGGATGAAAACCTTTATGATGATCCACTTCAACCTAATGAAGAGTAAATAAATTTTCTCTTTCCTAATAACACTTTCTTTTATCTACCTTACTTTATTGCAAGAATACAGCATATAATACATGTAACATACAAAATACGTGTTAGTCAACTGTTTGTTATCAGTAAGACTTCTAGTCAACAGGAGGCTACTACTAGGTAAGTTTTCAGAGTGTTAGAAGTGATACATAGGGTTTTGACTGTGTGGGGTGTTGGGGTCCCAATCCTTGTGTTGTTCCAAGGATCAACTGTACTTCATTTTAAAACATTGTTATCAACCGAGTGCAGTGGCATACACGCCTGTAATCCCAGCACTTGGGAGGCCAAGGCAGGAGGACTGCTTGAGCTCAGAAGTTTAAGACTGGCCTGGGCAACACAATGACACCCTGTCTTTACAAAAAGTATTTAAAAAGTAGCTGGGTGTAGTGGTGCATGCCAGTAGTCCCAGCTACTCAGGAGGCTGAGGTAGGAGGATCACTTGAGCCCGGGAGGTCGAGCCTGCAACACTGCACTCCAGCCTGGGTGACAGTGAGACCCCATTTCAAAAAACTATAAATTAAAAAATATATACACACACACACACACACACACATCATTATCACACCTAAATAACAAAAATTTTAATTTAAAATGTGTTATGAGCAGAATTTCACAAACTCCTTAATTAACACATCACCCATGCCTCCATTACAGGGTAGTGGTTTCTCCAGCCAGACAACCTGCTCTTGAAATATGGTGTCACCACTTAGTAGTGATGGGGTATGGGAAAAGGCACTCAACCTCCCTGACCTCAGTTTTCTTATCTGTAAAAATGAGGATGTTAAAAGTATGTGGCTCATAATGTTGCTGTGAGAATTAAATGCCTTAAAACCCATGAAGCACTTAGAACAATGTCTGCCACATAGTAAGTGTAGCCAAGTGTTAGCAAAACCATTACCTTTTGGCTCCTGCTTATGTTCTGTTCTTGGTGAGTCCTCATGGTTGCAAGTACAGAAGCACCCTGGACAAGCCCAAGTGAAAGGTATGTTGGGGAGTTGGTGTTAGTCTACAGGGACCTCACAGACACTAATAACAGGAAGCAGAGATCAACTAGCCCTATACAGGAAAACAGGAAAGTCAAAATCAGGGCTATTTGGGAGGCTGCACCTCCTTCCTCTCTCCCAGTCAATCCATTTGCCATTCCCTCACAGTGAATGTCTGCTTTGCTTTCTTTTTTTTTAATCCCTGGTCCCGCACAGCTCACAGTCCTGACCATCCTTCCTGACCTCTTAGCAAAGCTTCCGCCATGAAGTGCCAATCATCTCTGTGTTTCTTAGAGTTCAAATCCTTGAGGAAGAATCGATAAGCTGACCTTTGGTCAGAGGTGAAGTGTCCATCCCTTGGCCTACAATGGGGGATAAGGGCTCAAAGTCATAGTATACCACGTGACCATTTCAGAAGCCCTGGTGAGCAGCTGAATCAATCCTTGAGGAAGGGCTGGGTTATGCTGTGCCACAAACAGTTAGCCTGAAGCAACAGCAGTTTATTTCTCATCCATATGCACATCTATCAAGAAGGGCTGAGGGTCTTGCTCCTCCAGAACCCAGGCTGCTGAAGCAGCTCCCACCTGGGACCCTGGCAGGGGCAAACAAGTCTCTGGAGAGAAGCCACATTAACTCTGAAAGCTTCTGCTCTAGGCTGGTCACTATCTTCAAGTGGGCAGGAAAGCACGATCCTACTGTGTGCCCAGGAGAGAGAGCCGAAGTATCTGTGGACCTCCTCATGTAAAACCCAGAGGCGATGATAAACAGCTACCATCTGTGTCCTCATCATATCAGTCTGATCCTGTACATAAAGGCCCTCAGAGAAATCCGTGCAAACATGACTGTGAAAGTAGACGATCACTTTCTTCCTGGATTGAAATGCCCATTCTAAGGGTAGTAGAGTTTTTTCTTAAGGCAAAAACAGCTCTAACACCATTAACGTTTTCACCCTGGACTCATTTTTCATCTCTTAAGTCATCAAGATTATTTGAGAACCTCTCCTGGTGCCTCCCATTTCTCTTAAGATAAACAAGTTGAAATTAGTCAGAGTAGTTAGAACAGACCTCGACCCCTGGTGGGTGAGTAATTGTGCACCTTTCTGAATGAGGCTGGTGTTTTCTTTGACAATCATTGCTCTGCCTACTCAAATTCTGTCCGAGATCTCGGTGTCCCAGCCATGCTGCCCCATTAGAAGTATTCACTCAGATTTTCCACATCTTCTGAATATTTCCCCCAGAAGTCATCCTGTTTTTGATGTACCACTTCTTGAATGTGTGTCTTCCAAATTTTTGGTGTTTTAACCAGTAAGACAACAACTGTTTTATTGCCTGAATAAGCCTAA